TGGGGTTGTTCGTATAACTGATATTTCGGATAACCGATTTATGTACGAAAAAATAGTTTAACGTAACCGATGTTGAAATTTTTCTCCGTTGCGTGTCGCTTCGCGTTGAATTTTCGTCGATGTTAAGCCTAACGAAGACTATTGTATCGTAAAAAATTATTTTTTTATTTTGTACAAACAAAATAAATACAGTAAAACCTGTCTATGGCGACCACCCACGGTTCCTTCAAAAAGTGGTCTTTTAGGCAGGTGGTCGTCCAATACAGGTGGTGCTGTAATACCGTATTTCCGTACGTATTTTGCGCACTTTTTAGCCATTTCTACTAAGCAAAACTCGAGGCGAGCAGAAATAAGCGGAATTTTTTCAAGGATAGGGCTATATTGGTATTGTATTTTATTCTTATCAGATAACCCGGTTTACAGGAGTCGTCGTGATATTATAAGACAGATTTAATTCCAATATTTTAAAGATTAAAACAATACTCGCATTTTCTCGATTATAATGCACACTTTATTTTTTCCGACTTAATTAATTCGACTCGGTTCTTTTCGTTCGCTCCTCAGTTACGTGTATTACGTCATCAATATACAAGCGCGTCCTATCTCTCCATCACTTTGCTTTTGGTTTTCGTTAGTTTAATCTTATTTTAACTTTAAAAATACTGTATTTTTTAAATATTTAATATTTTCTTAATTAATTAAGTACAGTAAGAAAAATTATTAATTAATAATAAAATGATTTTATTATTTTTTCTCGTTGTACGATTTCATTACAATCGCGGAATCGAAAAAGGAAGTAAAACTGATTTTTGCATTAATGCGTTTATTGTTTTTTGAATATTTTGCCTGCGAAAATTACTTGGATATTATTTTTCTAAAAATATCGTGGAAATAAGGTAGGTTGATACAGAAACTATTTATCGCACGTATACTGTATATGAGCTTCAAAATAAATAATAATAATAGATTTTATCAAACGATGAGATCAGCCGATTAATTGTATCGTGTACAATATTTTACACCCCCAAGGAAAATACTGTAGGTCTAGGGTAAAATAAATTTTGTTTTCCCACAGTTAAACTTCGCCGCTAATTGCTGTTGTGATAACTTTAATACGATCTTCTAACGACAGCACTTTGCATTTCGGACATTTTCCAACAAACTGAAATGAATTTCCTTTGTTGCTAGACTAATTTATTAACACCTGCACCTAATTTCAAGGGTGGGAGAAGTGCCCGGGATGGGTTCGAACGAGAGTTTAGACTAATTCATTATATTAGGAGGTGGAAACGTTGTTGAGATGGGTTCTTACAATAGTTTAGACCAGATACATTCGCGAAAGTGGTCGCTTATTACAGGTGTTGTATGTTGTTTCGGACCAAAATTCGATGCCCGCGGTCGCGTTACACAGGTGGTCGTTTAATACAGGTAACTTATACGAAGACTCTATGGATAAACTATTCCGTGCCAGAAATTTTTGCCCGTTTTGGCAGGTGCCCGTCGAATGCAGGTGGTCGCCTAAGCAGTTTTCACTATATATTGAAAAATATAAAAACAATAAAAAATTATACTTCAGATGTTAATTTAGTATCAAAAACGTAAAATATTTCAGTAGCCCAAGACATAGACAAAGATTGAAGCGCCACAGCACTGGCGAAAACTTAAAATTGCCGACTGGAATTTTTTCGGATGATTGACTTTCGGAAAATCGACGCTCTACTGTATTTTTCTTTTTTAAATTTGATAAATAAATTTTCTTCTGCATTTACATGGTGCAGAATGTCGACCGTGGGGAGGTAAAAGACGATCTTTTTCAATTCTACGTCTCGAGGCTTGACCATCTCCGAAATTCGTTCGAATAAATATCTTTTTCGTCCATTTTCGACCATGGCATGAAATAAATCAAACTCTTAGGATTTCGCTTTGCGGGAAGATTCCTCGGTCGCCGCGAGTTTCGCCTATTAATGCAACATCAAACTGGATAAAGTTAATATTAAAAATACCGAAAACCTTTATAATACGGCCGAACGAAAATTAAGTCCGAGACAACGGGAGATCGACACAGAGGATAAACAGACTGAGCTAGGGGCAAACGATCATTCTTTCTCCTTGAATTTCTGACTTTTTAAAGGATCTCTCTTCTAAATTCTTAATGTGATCGCTTAATCAATTTGACACGTCCGCAAGTGTTGATCCAACTTTGAAACTTTCGCTCGTACCTCTCATGCCATAATATTTAAGTTAATGTATTTAAATTGATTAAATTTCTAATAAACGTTATTTTCGAATTCTGTGTGAACTTTTTATTTATTTATTTTTTTGATTCATCAAGTTGATTATAGAGATGATGTAAATTACTTTACTGTAAATAAGATGCAAGCAGCAACGCCAAATATATTATCAACTGAAGGTGATGAGAAATGTCCGAAATTATCTGATATATTCTTGTCTGTTGAATTTACGGTCGCATGCTGCACTGCGAATTCTCAATTGTACTGGTCTCGCTGCCTTAGATCATCCCGCTGTGTGTAATTTATTTTACCAATTAAATCAATTGTTTCCATTGGCCAATATAGACGATTGTTTCCAAAATCGGGCCAGTTTAGTTTTATGTGAAATACATAGTGGAGCTGACCAATGCGGTCCGGTTCACTCCACTTCTTGCAGAGTCTTGGGACAGGTGAGATACCTGTTCGGGTCAAGCAGCAATGTAGCACGATCAACTTAGGCACGCTTGGAGTTCAAATTGAATACAGTAGACCACCCCTATAACAGTGTAGATAATTCCGTGTTATATGAATTCCATGTTGTACGAGTCACTTAGATTTTACTGTAAGTGACCAGTACAACATGGAATTCATATAAGACGGAATTATCTACAGTGTTATAGGGGGGTCTACTGTATATGTTTAATTCTGAAATATGATCCTTCGTATTGTAATTGCGGCGATATAGAGATGATATGAAAAATATGTAGTATAAATGAATAATTAATTGAAATAATTAAAAAGGAAGAGTATATTTGAAAGAAATAATTTAAAAAATATTTACCTCAGTAAAACGTATGAAAATAAATAATCAATGTATATAGCTACCAAGAGTTTAATTGCTGAAAATCAATGTTGAATATGTAAAATAGTTATTTCACATTGCTTTTGACAGGTTAGTTACATGAAATTTCAATGATTTGGCGATAAAAATAACATTTAATTGCAGCATTTCGTACAGAAATAATAGAAAATTTATATCAGTTGTAAATGCGGTAATTGTAGTCAGTGGTCATTAATTAAGCGGGGTCATTCCTCTAAATGTAATTAGATATTACTTAAAAATGCAAATATAAATGAAATAAATCAATAGTTATATGTAGTGTAATATAAGATATTTATTTTCGAATTAAGGGAAAATATCTTTAAAAACTTCTGAGTCATTAAACTGTATAGTTGCAGCATTAAAAAATTTATTAAAATATTATTAAAATATTAAAAAGTTATTAAGTAGCCTCAACAATTCTTCAAGAACATTTGGAACATCATAAATTCTCTATTTCAGTAGTGTACCCATAGGGAGGCAAAGATACTGTACTTGACACCCTTCAAATAAAAAGAGAAGAAATACAAAAATATTTTCCAAAAATCGTTTCCTAATTAATATTTCTTTTCATTTATACTGTGTCGTGATTTCTATTTCTATACAACTTTTGAATTAACGGTCACATAAGGTGGAAATTTTAGTGAATTGGCATTAAAATTTTTTTTCCGTTTAATTCGGCTCCCTCAAGATTTAATCCTGAGTGCGTCGCTATTTGTGGGCACAATGTTAACTTCGAAATCTATTGGCCACAAAGCTTTGCCGACTAGCCACCAGAGCCGCTGCTACAGATGCCATACAAGAAAGCCTATAATTGAAATTATAAATTCTGATTTTGAAATTCAGAAGATTCTGCCAAGCAGTTCCGTTCCGAATACAGTCGTGGGTTCGCGCCTCGCCAAAACGGGCCAGCTACATGGCATTTATACCTGGTTAATAGGCGAGACAACACGATACTTTTGTTCTCCGGGACGTTTCGTAGTTTTTTGACACGTTAATTTAATCTATTTTTAGAAAGTTTGTAAAACAACCAATTAAATAAACAAATGATAATAGTAAAAATTAATTTTAAAAATGGAAAACGGCATTTATTGTCTTCTGATTGAATTTCCATTTAAATAAGTGCTTGATTATTTTCGTTTCCCCGACTAAGTATAGTACGTGGCTGCAGCTAAATAAGCAGTTTGGAAAAGACATGGCGGCGCTTATCTGTATGATCACTCTCTCATTATAAGCTCTCTATCCCATACGTACGATACAAGTTATTTCTATGTATCATTTAATGAAAAATAAAAATTTTTTCATAATTAATTCTTGTGCTGAGTTAACTAAAATGCCTTCCATATATTTAAGGAACAGTGCAATGTGCATAACCTTCGATAACTGTAGGCTTTAATTTCTCTTTACTTGAAAGCAAACAATTTCATACAGAATTTGTTTTAATGACATTATTTTCTCTGATATTTTTTAGAATTTAATTAATTATCGAAATTTTCTCAATGGTCGAATGGCCGAAGCTACAAAGGGTTGCTTGCCACTCTGAGGAATGCTAAGGGAAAAATTCCTTATATTAAAACTTTAATAGAGTTTAATATAAGGAATTTTTTAAGGGCGATCTATCTCGTTGTCGCCTTCCGACATTCCCAATCTGGGAATGTCCGAGCCCACGATGGATATGGAAAAATATCCTTTTAGTGTTCAATGGACGGAAAAAGTAATGAATACATTTCGTATAAAAACATAAAGATATTATTTAAATTTATTATTAAACAAAACTTATTAATAAATTGAAATAATATTATATGATTTTAATTGCAATTAATATCTAGAACAAATATTAAATAATATACATTTTATTAAAATATTTTAAAGATTGTTGTATAGAGTAGGTGGCAGTTTAATCGTTTCAATATGGCTGCGTCCAGTGAGAAATGTTTTTGTTATGTTTACTATTATACAATTCGTTCGAAAACGTTAATAGTGCATTTTAAAATGTAGTTATTTAATCTAGTTTGCGTTTTTTTTTAATTATGAAATTTTCTTGGATTAGGTATAAGATCGGTAACAATGCAGATTTTCTATACACGTGACTATTATTTTGATGTGTGATCATTATTGTAACGAGTAACTTACATATGAAGTACCATAAAGCTGTAGCACGTATATAAGAGGTATATATGCTATTAAATTTTGGTTGTGAAAGGTCGAGGAGATGGATAGATAAAGGGTAGTCATGTGATGATAATTATACAGTTTAAGGAAATATGAATTTTTTTAATTGTTTTATTTTAAAAAGAATTTATGTTTAACAGACATTCAGAAAACCCATAACATTTTTCATGCGACCCGTATATAAAGTGCTATAAACAAAAAATCATAGGACTACTTACCGATTGTGCCCTGTTCGACACGGCATTGCCTAAGCTTGTCGTCTTAATCAAGTGTTAACCCACCAGTGGCTGAGTGGATTCCATCTTTGCTCATAGCGGCAGTGACCATACCTAAACACTGGTGTTTGGTTGTGGGTTTGTGCCTCGATCGGACAGACTGGCAACTTGGAGTTTTCTGGGTTTTCTCCTTGCAGATGACGCCTGAATAGAGGCCAGCTCTCCATAAAAGTCCTCCCGGAAGGCATTCTATGCTCCTTCGTGTCTCTTCTGGCTGACTCTTTTGTCACCTTGCGATCCATCTTCTGAGGTGTCTTCTTCCCTTCGGATTAAAAGGAAATAGTAGTACACTCCTCTATCACAAGGAATAAAGAAAAGACAAGCGTAAGCAATGGCATCTGGAATGGAATGGGGCACAATATGTAAGTAGTCCTATGATTTTTTTGTTTATAGCACTTTATATATGCATAACATGCATGTATAAAGTGCTATAATTCAGAAAATTCATAACATTTCAGGGTTCTATATTCAGAAAATGCATAACATTTTTTCAGGGTTGCCTGGCAAATGTTATGCATTTTCTGAATGTATATTAAATATACATTCTTTTTAAAATAAAACAATTAAAAAAAACTCATATTCCTTTAAACCATATAATTATCGTTCAGTTGTCAGTACACATGATGTTTCATGTCTTTTTTAATTTAATACTTGGAAACAAATTTTATATACTTATTCCATACACAATGATACACTGTCTTCCAAAATGAATGATAATACCATTTTGAATTACTGTAATAATTATGTTAATTATTATCTGAGAAGCATGAGATGTACACTAATCAATAGAGTTACTAGTCATGTTTCTTGTCACATTTGCATTTGAACATTTTTGTTTACTAGTCTCTAGGAAGCTCCATAAACAAAATTGGTGATTCTGCAGCAGAAGAGAAATTTTGTATTTTGCAGTTTTCAAAGTTGGAATCACTCACTTGTTCATTGTGCAACATGAGTAATCTTCAGGAGTTGTAGAATTGTGGCCGCTGTGGGAAAAGTAACAATAGATATGCCATAGTGAATGTAAGAAGAATTTCAGTATCAGTCAGATGTGTGCTATATGACATGAGGTGCATGTATTGAGAAGTTATAATGGGCAAATGGAAAGTTTTCAAATACTTTAATGCACATTATAATGTTTTTAGATAATAATTAACATAATTATAATAATAGAGAATGATAAAATTCTTTTTGGTAAGATCCTGTATTTTTAATCATTAACTTAAATTTAAAATATTAATATAATTGGCATTTAAATTAACATATTATGTCAACACAAATATTTTTAAAGTTTCAATGTTTAAAAGATACTTTAATTGTTATATAATATACTTTTATAATTATGTAATATGTAGTTTCAGAATTTGAAGAATGGCACTGAACACATATTATAAATGGAGATTTATTCGACAAGTACGATTAAGATTTTCATGGGATTTTTCCAATCAATTTTATCTGTGGAATCCTGTAAAAAGATATTTAAATGTAAGCAATGTTTTACATAAACAAAAAGCAAAAAATGCTATATTAAAACATAAAATAGTAGCTGAGAAATATAGAAATATATTGAAGAAGAATGAAGATAATCCATACATAAGTAAACGTTATAAAAACTGCACTTATGTAATACATGATGATGTAGTTGGTAATAATTTTAAAATATTTTTTTTATTAGAGTTAAATTAAAGATATTTAAAGATTAGATCAACTTTAAAAGTAATAAATTTTTGTAGAGCTTGTTTTACAAAATATCAGTTCAGATTTAGCCAAAGAAGATGCTCTTATTATAGAAATTAATCCAGGTAAGATGATTTTCTTTTGTAATATTAATATAATAATAATAATAATAATAATAAAGTTTGAAAATTATTTTCTTAATATTTATAGGTTTTGGGATACTTAGTAAAGCTCTTCTTGAAAGTGGAGTTTCTCAATTGAAACTTATTGAAGATAATAGGGTGTTTTTGCCTCATTTGTTGGTTAGTATATATGATTGTTATTAACATTTTGAGTTTAGAATATTTTCTGGAATTAATTTGGTTTCATTATGAAAAATTCTGCAATTATCTACCTTTTGATGAGTCCTGTAAATATGCGTGATACTTGTGGTGGGCTGTACAGAGTAAACACACGCATTTATGTTTTTCAAATTTGTCTCATTATAGTATGCTCATCTATTTATGGACAAACATGAAACATTACAGATAGCTAGGAGCATATATTGGCAGGTATAGCAATTTTTTTTGTTTCTTGTGATTTTCGTAAGTTTCACAAGATTTAACATAGAATTTTCTCACGTAAAGACAAACCTGCTGTATAGTAGTAGTTCACACTTGCTGTCTGCTGAATCATTGGAGTTTTTCAATTGAATTGGAAGAAAAAATATTGCCTACTTTATTTAAAAATACAAATTAGAAGATGAGATATTAATTTTTTTTGTAAATATTACATTTTTTTAAAAATAGCTCACTCTGGGATTATAGTGTCACTGGTAAACCCTCTCATCAAAGGGTTAATGACTATAAACTGTGGTAAATTATAATAAAATTGATAAATGCAAAGATCTATTGTTGAAACAGATTCAAATGTATGGTGTAGTGAACAACAAAGCAGACTTCATGAGTGTGTAATCCAGGATCCCAAGCTTACAAGTACTTAGAGGAAGCCTGCACTTGAGTAATATTTAACTCTTGTTGTCATCAAAAGCTACTATATTTATAATTTTCAAAATATAGAGTTGGTGTTAGGGAAGAAAGTACGATATTGACCAGTGATAAATTCTTTAGCTTAGACATAATATTGAGGTATTTTTAGTTATCATAGTAATGCTTTAGGGTATTCATAAAAGTTACTGTGCGGTAGAAAAGGTTTAAATAAAGTTTTAATAAAAGTAAACTTTTACATACAATAATGCCATTTCTCCTATATCAAATGTTAAAAATGTCCTTCATCTGGGGAGTGAAGTCTGGAGACCTAGCAAGCCAGATTTCACAGAAGATTATGTTATCACCAAAGAAGTCTTCCAAAAACCAGATTGTCTGTGAGAAACCAGTAATGTCACCTACTGTAAACTGGAAATGTAGGACATACAGCATTAATGAGTACTTGTAACAGATCTTTTCTTTAAATATTAGATACATTTTTTATTAAAAGGTTGACAAGATCTCTGTGAATTACTAATTTCATTTTGCATTGTGATTTTCAAACCCCTATTCAAACTAGGGTGTAGCTATTATTATATACAATATTTATTGTTTGAGATATTTCAGTTTAGTGTTAATTTCATATAGCAGAAACTTATTGAAATGTTGATTTTATTCAATTAAAATACAATGAACTCATTTAAAATTTGACATTCCTCACAAAAGTCATCAGTACAGCAAGTGTTTTCCAAGCTGTTTGCAGGTGATTTGTATCTACTTGTTTTCTGGTACAATTTTGCATCTAGGTCTCAGGGTACAATTTAGCTTTCCTAAGAGCAACCAATTTTAACTGATAGGGTTTTGGATTAATGGAGAGCATATTATTGGCCCACTTCATAGTAATCTCATTGGTTGTTATAATACTCTTAACCTACCAACAGTCACGTTCAAGTTTATTCTTTTAGTTGGTAGAATTGTTGAGAAGTCATCAATTGGCACTAAGTAATGAATTGGACAGTTAGAAGCATGTTTTGGTCTCATCATGAAGTAATAGTAAAATAAAAATAGAGATTAGCATAAAAGTTGGTAAATGGCATTTTGGTCAATATTGACAAACTAATTTATTGAAAAAATAATGCAAAATGTCATTTAATTAACATATAATTAGCAAACAAAGCAGGGATTCACAGTACTGGTGAGCAATGTGTTCTTCAAATGATTAAGAAAAATTAAATTGCTAGATAGTGTGCAAATGCCCAACATGTTTGTCACTTGCCTTCCCTCAGACTTAATATTGTACTCCATCACGTGTGAACCATTGCACTTTCCTCAAATCTATCTTCTGTGACATCATTTACAGGAGCTTTAATTTGATACCTGAACCATATTTTTAGCCCCAGCCATTTACTCAAACTAAGTCAGAAAACTGAAACCCTCTTTCAATTAATATATAGATATTATTATATACTAGCTGCAAGGACCTGCTTCGCTGGGTTTTTATTTGTGGGCAAAAAGTAACGATAGTGAAGATTAAGATAATTACATTATAGCCAATTTATTAGCCAATTATTAGCCAATTAATAGCTTATAGCTATCGAGACGCAACCACCATAGTGCACGAATGGAGACTTGGGGCTACTACCACATACAAACACCATTCATGTGCGATGTGTAGTTTTGGCTGAAAAGTGAAATATAGGGATACACACGTCCATTTTTATATATATAGATACACACACACCATGCCAGGGTAAAAGTGTAAGTTGGCTGAGAGTCACGATAAGCCATGCACACTAGGTCATCACCAGTTGGTGTCATGAGTAACCAGTATGGCTATATCTAAATTAAGCAAGAGTTGTGAGTTTGAGTAATGCTCTAGGTCAATCTTTTCTTTCAGAATATTCTAAATTTAAGTTAAAATCAATTTTTTTTCTAATTATTGAGTGAGCATTCAAATACAATGTCCTCACTTGGGAGGGGTGATATGTAAAAATTTTGAACAGATTATGACTGGGTGGGATGTTAGTAGAGTGATGATACCCTAAAGATTCTCAAACATTTTTCTATTTTAAATAACTTTTTACCAAAATATTAGGGGTGTCTGAAAATTTGGGGTTATCAGGGTGGCAGATCAGGTATAACATCAACTTAGGGTTCTAAAAATTGGCAACAAAATATGACAGGGATAGGGTAGGTAGTCAAAAAAACTTAAAATTGGTGACATCATATTTGAATGACCCTTAAATTTATCACAATGGCAGCCTAACTGCCTACCTCTAGCCAAATTGCTTTATATCTAATTATTAAATTAACCTTAATGTAACCTGTAAATCCAGTGGAGCATATGGAAAATCATAGAAAATATTTTTGTTATTAGATAATTTAATTATTAAAGATTTAAGTACATTGATTCTCTTTCATTAAACATTATTACTTTAAAATTTAATAATGTTTTTTTCCCCTGTAGGAATTATCTGAGCTTTATCCTGGTAAAGTACAGTTAATTAATAGAGATTTCTATCGGATGTTTAAGATACCTGAAGATAGCGAGACTGAGAATGATATGTCACAAATTGTAGAAGGTGCAAAAATCAGGAAATGGAATGAAGGTTTGTTTTAAAATATTTTTTATAAAATTAATTTCTTTCCATGTTTTATATAAATTTCAAATAATTTGCGTTCTGAGTTTTCAGGAGTAGAGTATGCACTTAAGACTATTACAATAAGAAAAACATGAAGTATGATGCTAGAAAGGAAGGCTGAGAAATGATTACTTAGTCATTTTGAAATGTTTTTAGAGTATAAAGTATGCCTAAGGCTTCTCTGGCTATAAAATATGCTTCTTCATATGATGTTTGGTTTGAATTCTCGAATCAGTTAACTGTTCTAATCTTTTGCTGTTCAGATGATGTTTTTGACTCTGCTTTTGGGCATTAAAAGGTTTCTTTTTCCTGTTCACCATAAGTTCAATCAGGTTCACTAATTGAGTGGTGAAAGAGGATTCTTGAGATATCTGGTAATACTACCCCAAAATATTTTTAGGGTTTTTTACAGTCTGGATTTAATCTCAGGTTTCCAAAGCAGTAGGTTATGTCTTAATCACCTCAGCCATTTGGTTGTTGCTATTGAGTGGGTTATATATTATTGCTCATACTATACTTTTGAAAAAAGAAAACAAAACTGATATAAAATAAAATGATTTCAAAAATAGAGGTCTTATATGGCATAAATTTATCTTTCTCACTTGCAGATTAGAAGAAATATGATCAAGCATACAACTTAAGGCGGCCATACACGTTAAGTTAATTCTTTGAGGCTGCCTGACCTTGAGGAACTTCAGAATTTCCTATCGCCCACACATGAAGAAGAAAATCTTTCAGCAGAGGCGTAGCTAGGGTGGGGCAAAGTAGGGCACATGCCCCGGGCACCGGTCACAGAGGGACACCAAATGGTCTCCAAGACAAACAAGATTTATTTCTGGAGGGGGAGGGGGCGCCAGTTATGTTCGCTACACCATTGTCTCTCAGTCAGTCAGTCAGTCAGCCATGGCATCTGATGACGACATACTGGCTGTTCTTGGATGTTTATTGGCAACAAATTCTATTAAAACTAAGTATGCATAGAAGTCTGGTGTAAATAGTAGTAGTAGTGGTTTGGGTAGCACTGATCACAAAATTAATTTTTCATATGAATAATTTTTTAATGGAATTATTTCAGATCACAAAATTAATTTTTCAAGAGAAATCTTGGACTATAGATTCTGTTAAAAAGCATCAATTATCAGCGAAAGATCAATGGCAAGTTGATTTTCCTACCAAAAAAATTCATGGATTAAATTTTATAGACGAATATATATTAATAATTCTCAACCACATCCGATATTAGTACAAATTGTAAACATTATTATCGCAAATTAATTTTATAATTTAATAATTAAAAAGAATTTATTAAACTTTGTCTTATTTTAAGTTGTCATGTTTTAATTTACTTGGATATTAAAACAATAAATTTTTTAAAATGTAAAAGAAAATGATATAGAGTATCAAGATGTTTTATGAAAACGGAAGAAATGAATTGAGAAGTTTTCTAAATATTAAAATTATTTATAATTTTAATTTACTCAAGAAATTTTTGATCTGAAAATAATTTATAACCTGAAAAATTAATTTTTTAGGTTATAAATAATAAAAGTTAATAAGGTTATAGAAAATAATTCTTCTAAACATTCACGAGACATTGTTCTAACTACTCAGCAGTCTCACAACTGAACAACATGACAGCACACACGTTAAGATCGGCACAGTGTCAGACTGTGCAGGAAAATCAAATAGTTTTTCAATTCTACTCCGGTGGTCAGTACAGTTTGCCAAAATTGTTAAATTTTCCCCCACACACTATCAGGAATTACTCAAGGTCAAGCATGCGTGGTTAATCCTTTGAGGATTAACTTAACATGTATGGCTGCCTTTAGGGCTTAATTTCTGACTTATGTACAAACATTATTTTCTGAAATTCATTTACTCCTATAAACATATAGCAACATAATGCAATGTCAGTAGTGCAATATATTACTTTAAATTTTCTATTCTGCAAAATGTAGGGCAACAAACTGCATTTTTCCAGTATTACTTTAAATGAAGGCAATGGTGTTTTAATCAAAGTAGTGTGTTTTATGTTTACATAAATATCTATATACAGGGTCTTTCAAAAAGAATGCTACAGTTTAAAATATTATTATTATTTTAATTATTATTTGAAAACATCATAATGTACATTAAAGCATTGGAAAACATTCCAAGTTTCACATTTACCTATTACAATTTCTCAGTGCATGCTCCTTGTGTCATACAGCACACATCCAACCTATACTTAAATTCTTTTTACATTTTGTTATTTTGTTTATGAAGCTTCCTAGAGACAGTAAACAAAAATGTTCAAATGCAAATGGGAGATGAAATTTGGATAGTAACTCTATTGATTGGTATACATCTCATACTTCTCAGATAATAATTATCATAATTACAGTAATTTAAAATGATAGAATTCATTTTGGAAGACCATGTATATTCGTTCTGTTAAAGCAAAAGCTTTTAAATTTGTTTTTTCAGAACCTCCATTAAAGATCTTCTTAATTCTGCCATTTGATAAAAGTTATTTTTTGAGAAGAATGATTTATTCTCTGGAATGTGAAAATTCTATATACAGATTGGGAAGAGTTGAGTTTTTAATGTTTGTATCAGGAAAAGAATATGCAGTATGTAACACATTCAATATTCTTTCATACTTAAAATTAATTATAATTTAATTTTAAATATATTATTACAGTATATGATTGCTGGACCAAAGGATAATTTTATGAAGTATCGCCAAGTTTCAGTACTATATCAGTTGTTTTTTGATATTGAATTAATAGAAAAGGTAATTTTTAAATGCTCATTGTTTTAAGAATACTTTAACAGAAATTGAATCTATTAATGAAATGCATATTGTGGATTTGCAGTGAGCTTGAACAATATATGTATATACAAGCATCTAACTCTTAATTTATGTAGTAGATTGGTTCAGAAAAAGTTTCATATAATACAGTGGAGTCCTATACAATGTAGGGGATATTCAAGTCTGCTAAAGTTATAAAATTTCCAAGATAAACCATACTCCAAACCATATATGCCAAAGTGTCCCCAGCAGAAGTTTTTGAACTAAACTTCTTTTGCAAAATTCTTTTCTGCATCCTTTGCATGTCTGTATACAAAGTTTGGTGTCAATTCTCTTATTGATTATAGCTACAGATTGCTCTGAAAATGTTTGTTTTTACATTAAATTTCTTATTCTTTGCTAGTTTTTGGTGATTTTTGTATTTTTATCATTTACCCAGTGTATTGTTGTGATTGATGTTTTAGTTTTAATAAACTGAAACTAATTCTACTGGAAACATACAGCTTCTTTTTCTCCTTGCAATATTTCTTCTATCAATTCAGAAACAAAATTTAAAACACTTTTGTTTATATGACATTTTTGTTAAGCAGTTCTTCAAATATAAATCCAATTCAAATTGTTCTTTGAACAAAAATTTGTAGATATCTATACTTTCAAGCTATAAACCTATCATCTTGAATCGGTAAGAGTTTGTGTGTGTGTATCTTGAACTAGAAAAATTTTCCATTGCAAAGAAAGAAGTTTAAATTTGATTTTAAAACTGATTTTTGTCTGTTGTTAAATATTTTCCATAGGAAAAAAGTGCTTACAACTAATATAATATGTTTTATACATATATAAACAATCAATTCCGACACATACTACAAATTAATTCATTAAAATGCTGGATTATCTTGGGATATATTTTTGGTGCAAAGTCATTCCCAGTTATACAGCAAAACCCTGAAATTAAATTCCTTCTTCCAAATTATCCTAAATTGTTAAATTTAATTCTAACTTAATTTAATTATTAATAGTAGAAGAAAAATAGCCTGATACATTATGACAATAGTTTGGTTCTATTTGGCTTTAATATAACTATTGTAAGATATTCTAAGGTATGTTTATACCTTAGGACACTTTACATTAGGAGTCATATATTGCTTATCAGAAATATTGAGACCTGCATTCTCTATTAGAACAATATTGTATATATAAAGTTAAGTTTATAAAAAGGAACTGTATACATAGGCTGTACAGGAGCCACAGTTAGAAGAGCCTCTTACAGCTTTCAAGCTACAGTTAGAAGAGCCACTTGCAGCTTTCAAGCCACAGTTTGGCCAATGTGGTTCTATATAATGACAACAACTTCCAAATATTTTTGAATTGGAGGTTCTTTTTTCTTGTTTAGAATATATTCTATATTATTTTCTAACACATACAACAAAATCAAAAAGTATTTAAAATTTATAATGTTATACATAAATTTTATTTGGTTTCTTAATTAAAAATAATTTTTTCTTAATTTTTAGATACCAAAAGAACATTTTTACACTATTTTTAAGAATAAGAAAAGGAAAAGGGTAACTTATTATTATTATTATTATTCTTATCATTATAAAATATTTTGAATTAGAAATATAGAAATATAATTTATGAATATTTTTAAACATTAATTTATTGCTTAGAAAGTTGGATTGTATGGTAGTCATCATTTCTTGTCACAAATGCCCTTTAAAAATATAATCATCCTTTAGTATCTGTGGGGATTGTTTTCAGGACCTCTTGTGGATACCAAAATCCATAGATGCTCAAGTCCCTTGTATAAAATGGAATAGTAAAGTTTTCCAAGTTTCCGAGTACATAAAGAAACATACTACATCTTAATTAGCCAAAAGAATTCCACTTTAATTAGTTAATTATCAAAAATTGGTTTAAATTTAATCATTTTAAAGAAAACAAATGAAATACAATAAAATGCAAAAAGGAATGGTTTGATGAATGATGTAATAAATTGGCCTTTAAAATAGTTTCTCTTGCTCCAACTACTATGGGAATAGTTAATTTTGTACTGATGTTTATGTGCATATATTCATTTCAGAAAATAGCAGAAAATTAATTTAAAGTTTAGAGCACATTGTGTGCAATATGTATGAAAATTTGGTGTGAAATGGCCTTTGTAGATGAATATCTTTTTGATATCTAAATTTATCAGTGTCTGTTTTTTTAAGAAATTTCTATATTTACTAATTAAAAGGTATTTTTACACTTCACATTTGTAAGGTCAGACTCACTGGAATCAGAAGAATTTTACTGACCCTGACTTTGTCTTAAAACAATCAACTCTGATAACTCTGACTCCACAACACTGATCAGATGTCAAGTCAATGAAAGCACCAGCCTGTTGCTCTGAGTCAGAACCACAAATTTTCATCAATAAGTAAGAAACTATGAAGGTGTACTTATACTTATTGAAATAAGTATTGCCTTTTATTTTTTTAAACAAACATTTTAATGTGTATACAAAAACGTGAATGTAGTATAAATGAAGTTTGAATTTCTGGCAACACTATTGCATGATAGGAACACTGTGTTGCCTGTCAGACATTTCTGACAAAAGAAAAGAAAAGTGTAATGAAGCATTATTCATTTTCTATGGGCAGGGAGCAAGAAATGTGAACAAATTCATGTGAAAATGCAGAAAGTGTATGGTGATGATTGCATGGACAATTCAAATGTCCATCGATGGTGTGAAATGTTTAAAAATGGTTGTCAGTGTGTGATTGGTAAGCACAGATCAGGTCGTCTGGTAAGTACGGCTTTGCCTCAAACTGTCGATCGAACGATTCAAAGTAACCGCCGCATTTGTTTGAAGACGCTGTTAGAAAAATTGCTTGGTGTCCTGTTTGGTTCTGTGAAGACATTCCTGGCTAGAGAGAAATTCCATTCCGACGAGGAGGTTAAATTGGCTGATGGCAAATGGTTGTATGGCCAGGAAATGGTGTTCTACAGTGCAGGCATCTTCAAGCAGGAGCATTGCTGGGACAAGTGCTTGAACATGAATGGTTGTTATGTCAAGAAGTAGCCTAATCCAAAGAAATATTTTAATCTTGCATAAATGAACTTATTAGATATGATGTAATACAAGATTAAAATATTTCTTTTAATTTTATTTAACGCTTCATAGTCTGAAATTTTTGAAGGTTTTGATTGAGCCTAATCCACATATTTCATTTCATATATTCTGTATTTTCCATATGCATTAACACTTTTGCTTAAAAAAATAAAGGGCATTACTTATTGAAACTCTTCATATATAAATAATATATACTTGAATCATCACATTGCTAAAATCATTGCTTAATGTAAACTATATTTAAAAAAATCTATTACAAATTAAGAAAATAAGTTCTATTAGTATTAATTAGTATGAGGCACCAGCACATTATAAGCTACATGATCAGCTCAGTTATGCCAGTTATACATAGCTCTTACCCATAATAGGTTAATCAGTATAAGAAAAAAGGAAGAAAATGATGTTGTGACCTTTCTTGTCTTTGATAAATTGTAGAGAGATCTGACCAGTTTTAAAATCATATCCCTACGACAGTAATTTAACATCTTATTGGCCATCTGGCTGACAAGAAAATAAATTAAACATTTTTATTATAAAATTCTTCTTATTGTATTTCTTTTACGAATCCTTATCAAAATTGTAATGTATAAATCACTCTCAGATTATTGAATTATTTGGCTAATTTCATAATTAGCTATTAAACTTAATATTTACTTGTTAAATTAGTCTTTTAGTTGGGCAGATAATCTGGTTGTGATTAATTAAAAAATTGGTTTAGAGTTTTTTTATATTTTTACTATTGAATATTGGATCTGTTACACTGGAACATATTAAAGTTTAATATATTTTATGATTAATTTTTCTAATTTTTATATAGTTTAAATTAGATTTATTATTGTTTTCAGGTATTTTATGATGATTCAAATCTATATTTTGTCAAGATAATACCTAAAAAAGATATGTTTAATGACAACATGACATTGCAGAAGCTTACCGAATTTATTTATTTTGTCAGATTTAATCTTGCAGTGAGAAAGTCGTTAATACTTCCTGCGTTAGAGTAAGTTTATTTTCGCATTTGCTTTCATATTTTATAAATATGTATATTTATAACAATATTTATTCTACAGGAGACTTATCCCTGATTGTGGGCCACATTTCATAAAATATGGTCTAGCTATATATACAAGATTTGGTGATGTTACTCCAGAACAAATTCTGGATATTTTCAACATATTTATATCACTACCGGGTTATAATGATGGGTTGTTTAAAGACTTATTTTCTGATGAATTATCAAGAAAGCATCAGGATGAAACATGTGACTTAGAAACAAATATAGAATGAAAAGTAATGAGTGTTTTCCTATTGTAAATTGAACAATAAATTTTTTAATATATTTTAATGATCTCAAACTCTTCTAATGGTTAAAAAAAATCAGATTTTGCTTATTTTCTTTCAGCATTTTGCATCCAATTTTGAATGGTCTGCTTCTCTTTCTCTTTCCTTCAGGCAGTATCTAATACATTGTAGGTTCAGAATGGCAAAAGGTTCAGAATTCTGAATTGGCCAGACCAATTCAGAACTCATCTAGCTAAATGCATCTTACCTTTTGTCACAATGACTTATAATCTGCACAAACTTCTTTTTTCAAGAACTCATCATTGGTAATAGAATCTCAATAAGTGACCATCAGCACAGATGAAACATATTGAGTTTCTGTGTCGCCCATGTTATGACCTTCCAAATTTCATAGCATAAATTGCAGTTGTATTTATTAAAATGATCTAACATTCTACCTCTAGTTTTGAAATTGCAGTAATAATTAACTTATAAATTAATTGTAGAAATACAGTCGACCCCCCCATAACATGGGTTCCTGTAGTTCGGATTCCTATATCAGGGTGAAAAAATTTGCAACAGTATTCGTACAGACATGCTAAAAAAACTCATATAATTCGGTAAAACGTCATCACCGACTCGTGTTGCGACAGGATTGGTCGAATCTAGACCAATAGCGGATATTGTACAAACTGTTGAGTTTAAACGAGCAGCTGACCTACTAAAAACTATTTATTATTTAACGTCCATAAAAATTATATTTATATTAATGATGTCTGCAAAGTTCAGCGAATGTTTTGCAAAAAGAATAATTTATCAGGAAGCACGCAAGTGCCATTCAATAACAAGCTCCACAACGAAAACAAGCTTAAGCAATGGCATAGTCAAACGGTGCACGCTCGGTAAGTAATTGTACAATTTTTTGTTTACAGCATAATTTATATGGATTATTCCCAAAAAATTATACGTATTTTGGAAATGTTGAGTCGAATTAGTCTAGAATCGATTAATTTTATGGAAGAAACCTTTCAAACAGCTGTAGTCCTAAACTGCATACGTGCTGGGCTGTGATTGGCTGGACTCATAGAAAATGGATTCATAAAAACCGGAACGTATCTACCGTGTTATAGGGGGTCGACTGTATAGCCCAATAATCTGGTAGTAACTGGCTTATATTTAGATGTTTAAGTATGATTAAATCTTATATTGAGAAGTCAATTGAAAAGATCCTCTATAACTGGAAGTTACATAACTTTAGTACTAACATAATGTATTGAAGTCAATATTGGCAAATTAATTGACAAAATGCTTGATTATTGATGAAAAATTCAGATAAAATATCTTGCATGTGTTTATGTTACAATTTATATCTATCTATGCAATTAATAAGGAGAGAATTTATCAGATTTTAGTCAGTTTTTTAAACATGTGCTTGGATTGGAAAAGATGGTGCTTGTGTTTCTATGGTTGTAAATTTGTCTCGAAGTGTTAATGGAATCGCAAAATGGGATGAGGACACTTGTGATTAAAATTATGTAATTTGTACAGTTTTAAATATTTGTTTTTTTAATTAGTAATAAATCTTAAAAACACTTAATGTTGCCTTGTAAACAGTTTGTATCCATTCTTCTTTTTTCACTTAGTTTAGCCTGTTTTTATTTGGAATTTCTGCTTTTAATGAGGCTACTTCAGACAGGTAGTTATCTTTTATTCATTCTTCCATTAGTTGCTTTTCTCTGACATCTTTATCCATCATATTTCTTCATTTTTTCTTGAGAATTTCTCTTCTCTTTTCTTGTCAATCCTGTCAGTTTCCTTTGCTATAACCTTCCTTCTCATATAGTGTTTGTTTTTCTATATGCTTGAAACATTTCATTTTTGCTTCTTGACTTTTCCTAACCGAGTCTCTCTTATATATTCATTTCTAATTTAGTCATAACTTTACACAACCATCAAAGTTTTCTCATTTCTGTAATTTTCCTGCTCATGTTAGTTGCTTTTAAAGGCTTCTGTGCTGTACATGATTGTTCACCACAGTTTTATACACTTAATTTTTAAGTTTTAACATACAAAATTGTGGTGTGGTCAACAATTGTGTGTGGAATGAGAACTTTATCCATGATTAAAATTTTATTGACATGGTATTTAATCTATTTGGGATATCTTTTGCTGTGTTATGATAATTGTAAATCTATTGATGAGGGTGCAAAACAAGACTATATGATAGAATAAAAAAATTATGAAAAACATTTATAGATTTTTAAGTGAATTATTGGATGTAGAACCCAGAGATCTACAGCTATAGATCCTTGAATTCTCTGGAAAATCATTAGGTTATGTGCTACAACAGAAATTGGATTTAGCTCTGGTAATTCTGATCAACAAGCGTAAGTATGTAAAGATTTGATTTGTTTCATTTTGACCTTGCAGAATACTTTTCAATCTTTCTGATTGATGATTACATAAATTTAAAATTGTGAGCTGTATTATTCATTTTACTTTTTCACTTTTATCTGTTATTTTACAGTATTATGTATATAATAGTGAAGATTATAAGTACATCACATGATATGATATTACGATACAAATACAGATATGATATTAATAATATAGAAGGGCAGGTTGTACGTCATCTCTTTAAAGATGAAGAATAGAAGAAGAAAAATTAAAGCAGTAGTTTTCTGCTCAAGCTGTATCTCTTCTCTTTTCATTTATTTTTCCAAAGGATGGTGTCAAATCCCCATTTCTATATTACAATATTTTTTAATATAAATTATTTACACAGTAATGAACTCAAAACTGAAACACTACAAATTTTTATCATAATATTCATATACTAATTGTATTTATATTAATGTTTGTAGGGCAAAGTTTCAGAATATGGTTATATGAGTTTATATATCATGTTGAAATTTAGAAAATTGGAGACAAATATGACATAAATTTCTCAAATTAGTCTGTAGATATTACACCATGTACAGAGATAAAAGTAATTAACAGATAGCAAATTTTCATTACACTTCCTTAATAATCAGCAACATCATTAGCTTATACAATAGAGTCATTATATCCTAACTGGTTTCTGAAAAACTATCATTAAGCAAACTGTCCTATTTTTCATAAGCTCAGTGTTATAAATGAATCTTACATCCTTGGAAATACAGTTTTAACTGTACAGGGTCTTTCAAAAAACAATACTGCCTTTTTAAATTATGTTAGTTATTATCCAAGAAGCTTGTAACATACATTAAAATATTGGAAAACTGTCCAAGTTTCACATTTGTCCATTATAATTTCTCAATACGTGCATCTCATGTCAAACAGCACATCTGATCAATATTCAAATTCTTTATGCTTTTTACAGCATATCTGTTGTTACTCCTTCCACAGCAGCCACAATTCTACAGCTCCGATAGATTACTCGTGTTGCACAACAATGAGCGATTCTGACTTTGCAAACTGCAGAATGTAAATGGTGACTCCACAAGTCACCATTTTCATTTATGGTGCTTCCTAAAGGTAATAGATGACAAGGCATTTGAATGCAGATGGCAAATGAAACTTGAACAGTTAATCTATCAATGTATGTTGCATACTTCTCAAATAATAATTAACATAATTACAGTGATTTAAAATGGTAGCATCCATTTTGAAAGACCTTGTAAAATTGTATATAAAGGTAGCCACCAACATAATATAACATTTTGTATAATCATAATAGAAAATTTATATCATTTGTAAAGTGTGGGCTTGCAGCATTTATTCCAGAAGTTGTATACATATCACAAACTTTACAAATATTTAAAAAGTATAAAATTGATTAAATGATGTACAAAAAATAATATTAAAATGAAAATTTTTCATTCATTAATTTCCTTTCTGCTCTCTGAATTTCTTTCACAAGTTCAGAATATTCATCTAATAGTTTCAAAAACTCCTTCTTCCTTATATGAGCTGTTTTCTATATAAAAATATTAAATAATTAAATTTTGAATTCATTTATATATTATTATTTAGAAGTTTTCATTGTATGTATACAGTACATACCATAACTGTATTCACAAAATCGGATTTTTCATCTACAAATGATAATTTTCAAATCATTTTTCTGAATTATATGGTTTAAAAAGACATTTGATGATGACAACTTACAAACACATTCTTCCACTTCCATTCTTTCTTCTTCATTATTCTCTTCATCTACATATTCAATGATGATGTTGACTTTTATAGGGGATTGCTGCGCTTCTATGTTAATTTCATTTATGTCGACAATTTCTGGTTTATGCCAAGACATCGCTAGAAAAATATAAATATATTTATTTAGTAATTACATTTTCAAATGTTATGAAATAAATCTAAAAATTTAAGTTCTGTATCATCAAAATTTGAATAAAATTGTTTTTTCACTCTACTTTAATATTAAAATTTAAGTAATGATTCTGAAAAAGCACTTAAGAGAATCTTTTTTTCATGTTCAGAAAAAACGGCATCTAGCAAATCTAGACTAAATCACTCCTGAAAAATTCCTGAGGATAGATTCCAGACTCAAACATAAGTCCTTCGGTGGGCAAATATCTTGGCCTCTTCAGCTTGTGAAATTATAATAAATGTTGTCTGTGAAGATCTTGAATTGTGACTATTTAATGAAACTAAGATGATTTAGATAATGTATCATGCAACAGACTGGTGTCAACCTACTACTAGTCGGCAGAAAGTTTCGATTAAAGTAAACACGATGTTAAATAATTGTTTTCTGAATACATATTATATTGGCAATTATTGTTATGTAATGGCCTGACACTCAAATAAAATAATACAGAAATATGTTACCAGTTCCTGATACATCCTGTCTCAAAGTGCTCAGACATTAATTTACATAATGAGTGATATGTATCTCTTTAGGTACTGGAATTTTCTTCAGCACTTATTCCATTAAATTTTGGATCTTATTCAGTCCCCTTTGAAATAACATTTGGATCATTTTTAGAGATGTTATATCATCAATTTCCTCTTAATTAATTGGAGAAGCAGTGAATCTACTATCCTTTATTGTTTGATGGGCATGCAATTGAGCCTAATTTTTGACTGGTGTAGACTTGAATGCAACAGTCTTAAATGATGAATGAGCTATCTTTCAATCTTATTTTCATCAAATTCTATGCTCATTTCTTCAAACTTATCATCCATGAGATAGTCAAGATGGTTAAATTTGTAAGGATCTGGCATTCCAGATTCTTCTAAATTTTTGTGAGTAGTCTTACTTAGATATAGGTGGCCTATTCCTTATTGAATGACCTCTGTAGAAAGCCCATCATGGGGTTATCCAGTCCTACTGTTGGGTATCATTACATGGGTCTGTTTACAAGGTTATCAAATATTTGGACAGATTTTTCATTCCATTTAAAATGTTTTTTTAACTTAAGTGATTAAAAAGAATAATTAAATTATTTTTTTCTCTATTTAATCAGTTAGCTGTCTAGACAATGTTTAAAAATAACAAATCTTTATAAATTTGAGAGATTTTAAGCATTTTCTTGTGAATAAGTATCTAGATGAACTGGCTACTTATTAAGTAGCCAGTTCATCTGATGTTCCTCTTGAGCATCAGTTGAACTCCTCTACAATGTTCAAAAAGATTTTTAAATGAAAAGTTCCCTTTAAAACATGCTCTTATGCACATTTCATGCAAATTTTAACTGGTACAAGGCTTTATATATCAGTTTATCTCTTAGACTAGCATTGTTATTTGCTTAAAAACAGTGTGTATGTTCAAGAAACAAAATTTTGAATCTTCAACACTTGTTCACTAATCAAAAAATCAGGCCACTCTTGTAAAAAAAAACCTGTAAAGGTCAAGTACAAAAATGATTGCATTATACATGTGGTTATATAGATATAAACGTAAATTGGTAGCAAAATTGCACTCTAATAAGTTTAAAATTCGTGTATAACGCGCAGGAAATGTGCACGTTTATAATTAGTCAAAAGTAATTACATAAATATATAATGCTTTAAGAAAGTTAGAGATAAGTTATACTGAAATTTCGGCTCTTAAATAATAATAATAATATGAAATTATTCATGAATAAATATGTAAATATTCATGAGATATTCATAACTTACCTTTTTAGAGTAGACTATAAACCGACTCGGGCGAAAGTTACTGTGTAACAAGCTGTGTGTGACCCGATTTTCGTTTCTTTATTCTCTGACCTCTGCGCAAGGTCGTAAAAGTAGGTCTGAAACCTATTTCCAAAATAATTTATTATTCTGGCCCAAATTATTATGAAGTTCAAGTTAAAACTCAATTATAGTAAGCAATAATTGGTCTATTTTTTTGAGTATTTTTGAATTTTAAAGGTTTGGTTTAATGGTCTACGTCAATGCAAGACGTAGGTAATCTGCCTAATGGGAGATCATCTATGGGAAATTGTCCATATTTAGGTGTTAGACACGTAAAAACCCGGAAAAACTTCACATGGCCAGCACGTTTAGTGAGGTGCGAACCCACGTCCATTGGATTCAATGGTGTTGTCCATTCGGCCACTGGTGAGCAAGGTTTGATTTCTATATAGGTGTAAAGGTTTGATTTCTATATAGGAAAATTAAAGAAAATGGCTTAAATATTCATTACACTACAAAAATTACGTATTGAATGAATAATTGAGATGATGCAATGCAAAATATGTTAAGCTGCTGTCACACTATGTGATGTTTTGCATTATTTACAAAGACTATACGCAATTTGATATGGTTACACATTCTTGTATTAACATACATTATGGAAATAATGCAGTATTCAAACATATTGTGTGTGTAGTGTCCTGCAAATTGATTAAATCAAGCTTTAAATCACACACTCGTGATGGGTGGTTACATGTAAATTGATGCAATGAGTTACTAAGTAGTGACGGACGAAAATAGTTTTTATTTCAGATAAATCATTAGAAATTAGTGGGTTCATTATACAGATGAATTTTTTGGTAGCCATTTTTAAAATTTTGGATGCAATAGAATGTTTGCTCTTCTATCCTTTTAAAATCAGTGTTCGAGTGTGTAAAACCACCGAACAGTGGTAGTTGGTTGCAGGTTCGCACCTGACCAAAGATCACATGGAATTCTCGAGGTTTTTCTGCGTGTCTAACACCTAAATAAGGGCTAATTTTTCATAGAAAATCTTCCTGGGAGGCACCCCTCGACAAATTGTCCATGTACGTTCCGTTTCCTCATCCCTTCAATCTTACAATCCTTCTAAAATTAAAGGGCACGGGTAGATAAAATTAATACAAATTGGATTTGTACTTCTCAAAATCTATAAATTAATCAAAATTATGACACTTCATATATACATAACTTTCAAATCTATCAATTGCTTCATCTTTTAAGCCATTCTTTATAATGACAGAAAATAATCAAAATTAATAAATTTATTTAAAATTCGAAAAGTCTGTGGTGAAAATAACATGAACTATGATCGGACATTTTTTTTTATAACATTCCTCATCCGCTCTGCTCTGATTGTATCTTCAACGATCGATGTCTTTCTTTGACCTTGACATATTCGCATATTTTTCAACGAGAGAAAGTTTATCAAGATTTTGTTGTCAACAACACCAATAGAAAAAAAATGATGTCGAATAACAAAATAGAACCATCGTAATCTGAAATTTCGAAAGAAAATACGAAAATTACTATAATTTCTCGTGTTTGCAATATTGAACTTTCACATAGGTTGAGGGGTCGATGTTCTTCGTTTATGTTTTTTTTTCTCTGTTGTTTATTTCTCTATAAAGCTATACTAAGACAATGAAGTTGTTAGAAACAAAATTTGCTTCTTGAACTATAAATTTACTCATTTTAATATTCGTTTGAAAGCATTACATAGGTGCCACGGTTAAGATCAAACTGTAATCTTCATTGTGGCACCCATATAACATTTTCGATTAAATACGGTATTTAATGCGTAAAAATGCTATTTTTGGAGGAATATTTATGCTAATTTGCATATAATTTTTTGATATTTTACACATTTCCTATGGGTAAATTGTAGAATAGAATAAGCACAAGAGGAGAATGTATCCTTGAGATTGGTATAATACATTTTTCTTTACTTTCCACCCTGTGGATGATACTTTGATATTTTTCTCGTTAAGGAAGAGAAGCCAAAAAAATTTTTTTTAAATAAAAAGTGATATTTCAAAAATTTTTATAGAGAAAAAGTGGAGCGGAAAATTGAAATATTAAATTATTACTTTTTATTGTAAGCAATATATTTTTATATTTAAAACTTGAAGCACAGTTATTTAACAATTCTTTCGAAGAGCATTTAATTTATTAAAATATGTTAAAGTTATTTTAACTTGAACAGGATAAAACAATTCGTCATTCAGAATATCGATATCTCGATATTCTGGATGATGAATTGATCTAGAACAAGGGTGGGCAACCTTTTTTATAACATGGGCCAGAATAAATTTTACGTTTTTTCCGTGGGCCATAGTAGTTAATTGACACCTTGTGACCTGTAAATTTTTAGTCTGCAAATATGAAATAAATAAATAAATAAAAAGAAATTAATTACTACAGTCGACCCCCCTATAACACTGTTGATTATTCCGTTTTATATGAATTCCATGTTGTATGAGTCACTTAGATTTTACAAATGCGTGTGCCGGGCTGTGAACGGCTCACCTATTTGTAAAATCTAAGTGACTTTAAACACAATAAAAACAGCACTATGTAGTTGGATACGACAGACATTNTAAACGACCTCTTTTAAATTACAGAATTATCCTCGATGCATTGCACGAATGTAAATTCAAGTTAAATTCAATTAAAATAAGCAATAATTGTATAATTTTTGAATTTCAAAGGGTGTTTTTCATTTTCTTTTTATGGTTCTAAAGAATTTTAAAGGTTTGGTTTGATAGGATAAGCCAACACAACACGGAGTAGTCTGCCTTCTTACAGGATTTTTTCGATTACTGGCCGCTCCTCCATCTTGTTTATAGTTTTATGGGAGGTCTGTTCCCTATATTTCAGGTCCCAATCTTCATCATCCAACTGCCTGGCCGAATTCAAAATCTGCTTGATAAAAAAGAAGAAAAAACCCTTTTCAGTGCCCACAGGGTGGAAATCGCTAAAAAAAAACTAGCAACGAGTTGCTTAACTTTCCCAGCAACACTTAAAATTTCGTGGCACCATTTGTTACGATATTTTATTAAAAACACTTATAACTTAATAACTATATTAAAAAATTCTAGTCCATTAAAAAAATAATAGCAAAACGAATTAACCAATATAGAAAGAGAAAAATAATTTATATTTTTTCAAGATTAACAAGTTCTTCAGGGCATTACCCCATGAAAGACAATTGGATATAACCAACAGTGAATAGGAGAAACGATATAAAGTTTAAAGTACTTTAATAGGTTTAAATTTCGATAGTAGACGTGATGTATTAATTTCCTTTGCTTTCGTTGCATAGCTATAGAAGTGATTGCAGCTTTCGACGACTTAACCACTAACAATAAGCTTAAAAAATCAAGAAAAATGTCTTCTAGACACCTTTATCGATCTTCTTAAAGTGTTCGACTGGAATTTTATTCATTTATCTTTTTCAAAGTTCACTTTATTATTTGTTTATCCTGTTCATTTCCGCATTTTTTTAAATAAAAAAAAACTTCAGTGATTTACCAATATAATAATTCGTCTGAACATGCATCAATTCAGTGTTTATATTTAAACACCGTATAAAAAAAATTGTCAGCTTAAAAATATAGAAAAATGCCGAAATTAAAATTGATTTTACAATTAATATTTCTATTAAACGGGTTCACCAGTGGCCAAGTCCCTCACCAACAAGATGGTCGTGTGATTTTCATGTATCAAATATTTAAATATGGGCCAACTATGCACAGAAAGAAATTTTGAATAATTATAATTAAGGGTTGTACATATATTATACCACCATTAATCCTGGAGGAGGGAAACTATAAACTAATGGCAGGAGGAGAGGGGTGGTTACTTGAAGACGGTATCATCACTACCCCACAGTTTAATTTTTGTATATGTCATATTTTCAATAATTTAATAAAGAACTACAAAATCTTGAACCTGGCATCAAAAGAAACACAAGGAAAGTGCCATACTTTGAAAGAAAGTACCATGACAGTCTGCTTGAAGCATGCAGAAGATTCTCTGCACAAAACTGATTCTATCGAATCTTTTATAGAGCCAGAATAACACAAATGGAAGAATTGGAATATCTTTTTGGGTCCTCTTAATATTGAGTTTTTGTCACAAGATGACAATGCGAGCATGCAATAGGAATAACAACTTCCTTAATGATGCATATTGCCCATTTACTCAGTCAGCACTTAAGAACTTGCAGATACTATTAATTATTAAATTAATACAATAAACTATTACAGAGTAGGGAAGATTGGGGTTGGTTGTTATTTGCATAAACAAGTGAAAAAGTTACAAAACACTATTAAAAATTATAGAAGAGCGCAGCAATGTCCATCCCTTTCCTGCATACCTTACTTATTATGGGATCTTTCAACTGATTTATTTTTAAAAAATATCAATATTTTTACTTCCCGGCTATTAAAGATAACAAAGGAAAAGTGTTGCAAACTGTCAAATTTTGACTTTTTGTATTTTTTGACGTCCCATGATCCAAAAAACATATTTTTTAAAAAAATATGTTTTTTGGATCATGGGACGTCAAAAAATACAAAAAGTCAAAATTTGACAGTTTGCAACACTTTTCCTTTGTTATCTTTAATAGCCGGGAAGTAAAAATATTGATATTTTTTAAAAATAAATCAGTTGAAAGATCCCATAATAAGTAAGGTATGCAGGAAAGGGATGGACATTGCTGCGCTCTTCTATAATTTTTAATAGTGTTTTGTAACTTTTTCACTTGTTTATGCAAATAACAACCAACCCCAATCTTCCCTACTCTGTAATAGTTTATTGTATTAATTTAATAATTAATAGTATCTGCAAGTTCTTAAGTGCTGACTGAGTAAATGGGCAATATGCATCATTAAGGAAGTTGTTATTCCTATTGCATGCTCGCATTGTCATCTTGTGACAAAAACTCAATATTAAGAGGACCCAAAAAGATATTCCAATTCTTCCATTTGTGTTATTCTGGCTCTATAAAAGATTCGATAGAATCAGTTTTGTGCAGAGAATCTTCTGCATGCTTCAAGCAGACTGTCATGGTACTTTCTTTCAAAGTATGGCACTTTCCTTGTGTTTCTTTTGATGCCAGGTTCAAGATTTTGTAGTTCTTTATTAAATTATTGAAAATATGACATATACAAAAATTAAACTGTGGGGTAGTGATGATACCGTCTTCAAGTAACCACCCCTCTCCTCCTGCCATTAGTTTATAGTTTCCCTCCTCCAGGATTAATGGTGGTATAATATATGTACAACCCTTAATTATAATTATTCAAAATTTCTTTCTGTGCATAGTTGGCCCATATTTAAATATTTGAT